CATCTGCTTTAAAGCACAGAAGGGGAAGCCTCATGGCACAGTGGTTAAACTGCTGTACTGCAGCCAAAACTGTGCTCACGACCTGGGGTTCAATCCCAGGTAGCTGGCTCAAGGTTGACTCAGCCTCCCATCCTTCTAAGGTCAGTAAAATGAATACCCAGCTTGGGGGGAGAGCAATGTGTATCCTGCATAATTAACTTGTAAATAGAGTGTTTTAAGTGCTATGGGGTGTGGTATAGAACTACCACCTTTGCTTTGCTTTATTTCAAATGGACCCCCTCTATTTGCAATTTATTTTAGCATAGTAAATTGTAACTAGAGTAGACTTATTTGAATCAACAGTACTTGCAGAGGGGTTGATTCACATCTATGACTCACCCTTATAGATTTATCCATGACTAGGTGAACAGAATAGCTACCCATTTTTGCCAGACAGGGTAATTAGTGTCATTCTTGGGTTTGGAAAGTAGCATATTCCTTGGTAATTTTAGCAGGTGACCCTGTCTTTTTTCTCATATTTATTTATTTAATTTATACCCCACCCATCTAGACTGAAGTCTACTCTGGGCAGCTAACATCAGTACAAATAATGACAGTATAAAATAGAACAACAATAATAATCCAACAAGAGATGGCAATAAAGTAAGTTAGGTATTGACAGGAGGGAAGGCCTGTCTAAAGAGCCAGGTCTTAAGTTTGCTCTTACGTTTGCTCATAGTAAAATTTGCCAGATGTGCCCAAATTCCCGCCAAATGATTCCTTTCCAGACACATTTTCTTTTAAGGATACCTGCCTTCCGTTTTCAGCATGCTGACCTGAATTGTATTTTCATTCGTCTTTGGCTCTTAGCCTTTCAAAAGGACAATGACCTATATGGAATTTCTGTTTTCCCTCATGCTGGCTGTAATGAGCTGAAGAAAATCTTGTTGTACTTATCTTAATTAGGATGTTATTTGACAAACTCACAGAAACATCAATGGTTCCCATTCCAAGTTACTGAAGCCCTAGTAATAAACTGATTTTAATGATTCCAGGCATGAGGGACAAGGATTACTTCCATGCCTTATGGAACAACTTTAATATTGATTGCGTATCACTTAGTGAGTTAGGCGTCTCAGCGTTTCAATTCCTCAATCTGCTGTCTGGGAGTAGAGCCAGCCTGTTGTAGCCTTGGGCGAGCTGCACAGCCCCGGGGTGCCTCCAGAAGAAGGGAATGATAAACTACTTTTGAGTACTTCCTGGCAAGTCAAAATTGATTTGATGGCATACAATAATAATAATAATAATAATA